GGGGACAGGCCGCACCCCTCCCCGCCCAGGCTGAGCCGCGGGGCGCTGAGCCTCGGGTACCACGATCACCGCGCCACACGGTCTCCCCAAGTCCGAGGCCGTCTTTCTCCACATCCCTTCACCCGGCCATCATTCACCACGCCCCCAGGCCTTCCCACCCTGGACCCGTTACAGTCTGTAGGGCTATTTCACATGCACCCCTTGGATTCGCACTATTTTCCGAGTTTACCTGCATGCTATAAGGTCCTGCCCTGCTACTAACTTCGACAAATCGCCCCACCTCTTCCCAAGCCTCAGTGTACTCTTCTGTAAAATGGGATGATGCCAGTGAATATTGAACTCCTATGGAGACATAGGCGAGTACCCAATGTGAGTTATTGATATTTTAGAAAAAAAGGAAACCACTTCATAGAGATGATGTCACCTCCCCACAGTCACATTACAAGTGAATGGCACGCAATCCACAACCCACATGATGCCTCTCTCTGCTAAGCACAGGGCTCAGGGAGCTTGGAGGTTAAGGCGGAACCGCACACTCACCCTCCAGTACAAGACGGAGTGGCAGGTACAACCACGTGATTCCCACGGGCCTCGGCCACTAGATGCTGCTGTGTAGGCATCTTCACAACTAGACTTGGTCAGCGCCATTGTCCCCATCTCGGGACACTCCGAGATTAAGCAAAAGCTTGTCCACAATCAGCCAGCAGTGACTGAGCTTGCTCCACGCCACCATGCTATGGAAGTGCAAAAGTGGGGCCGAGGCAATCAGAAAGGCTTCCCAGACGAGGTGACATTTGAACTGAGTTTTAAAGGATGAGCAGGAGTTGAAGGACAAATAATTGAATCTAAGGAAAAAAGTCCATACGCAAAGGCACAGGGGCTGAAAAGAGCCCATCAAGGTCTCTCTCAATCCAGCCAGAGCATGCTGGGCATGGGGGACTTTTCTGGAAGAGGTGGCAAGAGGCCTCTTGTCACACTGGGAAGGCAACATGTCACCCACACTTTTTATAATAATGGAATCATTTTCTCTTAGAGACTCAACTTTAGAAAGCCCTCTCTACTTTTTGCCTTCCTCCCTGGGCTCCTACACACCCCCTGCTCCGGCCTCCACTCCACAGTGCCCACAACCACAGTTCTCCCTCAATTTTCTGGCTTTGAGCTTCCTGTTTCCCTCTCTGCCTCCTCCAAACCGACTGCTGTTGAGTGGGCGTTGACTCACAGAGACCGCTGTGTGTCTGAGTAGAGTTCCAGAGGTTTCTGTGGCTGACTTCTCAGACCTAGATCCCCAGGCCGTTCTGCAGAGCCCATAGCTGGACTTGAACCTCTAAATTGTGGGCTAGCCCTGGAGTACAAAGTATTTGCACCACTTAGGGACTCTGCCACCCTGGGGTCCACTGTCTTCACTGAGCTTTGGGAGTTCTCCTTGACACTTCCCTCCAGGGATCTTCCCTACCCTCCCACTCTCTAGGGACTTTCTTCACGCTAAGAGATTCTAAGACGTGATGGGGGCTCCTGCTTATCTCCTCTCAGTCACCAACCTCTCTTTGTTCACCACCAGTGAGACCCTGTTGAATGTTCCCTAACCATGTCCCCCTGTAAAACCTCACACCCATCAGTACCCTCTTGTGGAGAAGCTTCCACACTCCCAGCCCCTGCTTCTTGGAGTTTTGTCTGCCACCCTTCCCTCCCACCCCTGGGAAGGGCGGTCATTTCCTTTTCCAAGGTCAGCTCAGGTATCTGAGTATCAGCTTCACCTGCCTCCTCCAAGATGCCTGGCCCCTCCCACCATCGTTATCTCTCTGTCCAATGCCTCTCATCTTCACTTTCTACCCTTCACACTCTCAGTTGCCTTTGACCACTCCTTCTTGACCTCATAACAGTTAGAGGCAACCTCTAGACAGGCAGGTTGGGGAAAATGAGAAAGTCAGGTAATATCAAGTGCTGATGATGTGGGGAGCCACAGGAATGATTATTACACTCTGCTGATAGGAGTTTCTCTTGGAGAGCATTTTGACACACTAGTAAATTCAAACAGGTTAAGATCGCATTACCCCCTCCTGTTGCTGTTCCTCTCTGTGAGAGACAGAATGCTGTGGTTGTGCTTGTTGTTATGTGCTATGGAATGGAACAGACTCATTTCCAGAGGCTGTAAAGTCCATAGGAGATTGCCTGACTTTTTCCCACATCGCAGCTGATGGATTTGAATCTCTTCACTTTGGGTTGGCAGCACAACTTCTTACCCATAAGGCCACCAGAGTTCCCTGCAGAGACAGAACAATATCCCACATACGTGTCCATATCTTAGTCCCCAGAACCGTATGTGACAAAAGGAACTTTGCAAATGTGGTTAAAAGAAAGATCTTGAAATGGAAGTTGGGGTAAGGGAAAGGTAATATACAAAAAGTTTGTTTAGGGATCGTAGTAAAATAACATCATTCCACTACAATTAATGTTATAAGACATAATGTCTTTTAGTGGTTTGATGAAAAACCAATATGATTTGTAAATTTTATTCAAATAAAAAAGAATAAATATTAAATTAAAAAATCTTGCCATACTCTAAGAAGAAACTAAACAAAACAAAGATTACAGCATTCAAAACCCCATGCAGCAGTTCTGTCCTATATAAAGAATCGCTGTTTATTTTCTTGGGTTTTTTTAATTATTATTCATTTTCATAATAACGTTTACAGAGACTTTGGATTTCCACTTATTCATTGTTGCACTTTTCTCCCTGCCCACCCTTCCCCCTCCAATTCGCTCTTCTCTTTTAAAAATAAAAGTATTTCATTGTTAAACAATCCCTCCCCCCCAAGTCCATTCCACTATGCAGCCTTCATTCTAAACTCCTGTCATGATAATAATACCTAATCATATATCACTTTTAAACAGTTCTCTCCCCCATCTGTTTCAATGCAGTATACATTATTTATCCCCTCTTTCTCAGTTTTCCCTCAACCCCAATGTCAGTCCTGTTTTACAACAGTGGCACTATACAGTATTTGTTCCTTTGTGACTGAGATATTTCACTCAGCATAATGTCCTCCAGGGTCATCCATTTTGTATAATATTTTATGAGTTCCGTGTTTATCAATGCAGCGCAGTATTCCATTGTGTGAATATACCAGAGCTTCTCAATCCATTCGTTTGTTGATGGGCTCTTGGGTTGTTTTCAACTCTTTGCTTTTGTGAACAAAGCCATGATAAACATAGGTGTGCATGTTTATTTTCTTGATACATACTGTAAAGTCAGAACAGACTCCTAGCTGTGGATTTTCCAGTAGACTTTCAGAGGCTGTAAAGTGAAGGGGAGGAGACTGCCCATTTTTCTCCCACAGAGCAGCTGGTGGATTCAAAACAAGCGCCCCTGGGTTGGCAGCTCAGTTCCTTACCGGGAAGCCCCCAGAGCTCCCTGTGAATCAACTCGACAGGGATTGGGTTTGGAAAATCAACTTCAGAGAAGATGATGTAACCACAGAAACGGAGGATCAGTCTCACAAGAAGATTTGACTGGAGCAAGAGCCAGGAGTCAAGAGAAGCCAGCAGCTCCTAGAAGCAGAAAAAAAAGGTCAGAAAAGGAATTCTTTCCCAGATATTCTCCAGGGAGTGACCCCCAACTCTATGTCAACTTCAGCCCTCCGAGACCCTGTAGATTAGGGACCTCTAGAATGGTAAGATAACAAATTTGTGTTGTGTTAAGCCACTTATTTTGTGGTGATTCACTACAGAAGAATCAGGAAAGGGTACATCCTTGTAGGAATTCTTGCTCTCTTGGACCAGATGACGGGGATGGGGTCATTCACAGCAGCTCTGTTAACAGAAACAAAGGGGTGAAGGTGGAAGTAACACAAATGTCCAAGCAAAAGAAAATGGCAAAGAAATGGGTATGTTGTTGTTGTTATGTGCCGTGGAGTTGCCTGCGACTCATAGCGACCCTATGTACAACAGCCCTAAACTCCGCTCTGCCCTGTGCCAATCGCACTGTCTCTGACACTCCCATCCCAATTATCCCAGTCACTGAATCAATCCACCTCATAGA